CCCTGTGGGGTGGGTTCTAGGATTCTGCCTGCTTGACAGATGAGAAAACTGAGGTAGAAGATGCAGGTGTGTCTGGTTCCATGTTCTCTTCTTGGGGACACACCCTACCTCTTCTGCTTCCACCTGCCTCCAAGACTGTGTTCTTTGAGCCTAAGCTCAGTCCTGGGCTTCTAACCACTTCCAGCACTGCTGTGGTTGAAGAGTGGACTGTTCCTGTCTTCCTGCAGTGTCCTCTTCTTTCCTGCGCCTGGTGTGGTGCAGACCCAAAGGGCTGCCCCTAAGCCACCCTTCCCCATGTCCTCCCCCAGCAAATTGGATCCCGCTTCTGGTCTCCTCTGTCAAGCATGAGGAGCTGCTTCTTGTGAATGAGAATCTGCCCCCATGACTGGCTGCTCTCAAGCAGCACCTGGGAGCTTGACAAACCCTGAGTCCCTCCAAGGCCTGCCCCCAGACCTCCTGAACCAGTCTTCAGGAGTGGACTTCAAATGAGTATGTTTGACTAGCTCCATAGGTGATTCTTACATCACCTGCCCTGACATATGGGACCCATTGGCCCACAGGGTAGAAGCCGGGCTGTGCGGTGACATTCTGGGCCCCTGTGTCCCCGCCTACATCTTCTGTCCTGTTTCTCATCCGCCACCTATCCCCTCGGTGGATCTTATGTGCCCACACCCCCAGACACCCTTTGGGGAGGGGGCACTGCTCACGTTATTCCTCTTTAAATACACCTCCCCAGTGTCTGTCTGTAGTGACCTTTGCTTGCTCTCTCAGATGGCAAATGCTGCCTCCTCCCTGAAGACCTCTGATTGCTATCCCTCCTCCCCAGAAAGGACTGATCATGTTGTGAGTATTTTAAATTCCCAAAGAGTGTACTCTCCTTGGACTTAGGAGGAGAGGGTTCCTTTTGCAAAGTGGGTTTTTGCTTCATCGGTAATCTAGCTTTTGGAAAAACATGTTTATATTTATGAATTGTGGAGCAGAACTCAGCCCAAAACATATTAATGTGATATTTATCAAGAAAATGAGTTTTAGAGCCTATGAAAATTGTCTCCGGGTGCAGGTTTTTAATTAAATTCTTTAATTATTAAGCTTTAACTTTTATTGTTAATTTTTTCCTATAGTTTTGGAAGTAACATATATGAGTATGTTCATTGTAGAAAACAGTACAGGAAAGTACAGAGGAGAAAACACACACAGCACTGTGCTGTTGTCACCCAGCCCTGCATCACAGTTGACACTGCTGTGGGTGCTATCCCATTTCTTTTCTAGGTTCATGAATGTTTCGATGGGCTTAGGCTCTGTGCTCAGTGCTCCAACACGGCAGTCTGGTGGCCCCACAATGGGCGTTATTTCAGCTCCTCTGTGAGCAGATCTTGGAAGCTTTTGGTGGTAAATCCTGAGCTCCCCTCTGCCTTGTTTCATCCATCAGTTGATTGATTCATGCTTTTATCAGGCAGCTATTTAAAAAATAATTTTAAAAATATTTTTCTAGTTTTTGAGAATATGTTATAGGCACATGGCACAAAATCCAAGAGATGCATGAGGGACAACAGAGTGAAAAGGAAGTCCGTTCCCCCCTTGCCCTTGGGCCACACTAAGATCATTTTCTTGTAGCACTTTCAGACTTGTTCTGTATACACATAAGCACACATCCTGCCCTGGGTGTTGTCCTTCAAAACAGTGATTGTCTACAGCACACAGGGAGTTGCACCTTGCCTTTTTCACGTGGGCGCGTGGAGAACTTCCTCCTTTTTTACTGCTGTGTTGTATTCCTTTGACTGTGTGTGGGGTATTAGAGGCCACTCTTGGGGGTGGGGGTCTTTTGCTATCACAGACAGTTTGGCAATTAACATCCCAGAGCCTGAAACATTTTGCCATTTGAGTATACCTATGGGGTGATGAGGTGAGATTATGGAGTTGGGATTTTTAGGAGGAACAGTTAATCACTTGGCTACTAGTTCTCTGGTTTCTCTTCCCTCTCTCATCCCCATGTTCCTCTCTCTTCCCCTTTGGTTTCATGATTCAGTTCCGTTTTTTGAGGGGGGTCAGTGGCCGGTATAGGAGTCAAACCCTCGGCATTGATGTTGTCAGCAACACGCTCTAACCGACTGAGCTGACCGGCCAGTCCTCATGTTTCAATTTCTGAACTTTCTGGTTATGGCAGGATTTCAGGAGCTTCCTATTAGGGACATCAAGGTTGTCGGTGCCTTTGTTCTGCAGAAGTTCCTGATGAAGAAACGAGCCACGACAGGTTATTTTATTTTCCTGGGAGGTCGTAGTGGTGTGTATGGGATTCCACCACTGGGGGGAGTGTGAATTTCCACCTGCTCCCCCTATTACACTGAGGTCTTAGAGATTGGAGACCACGCCTGCCTTTCCTGGTGCCTCCAGAGCCAGGTGTAGCACACCTGGTGGTTACCAAGTACCTGTGGGTGGGGAGAGCAACTCTGACTCCGAGGCCAGCTCCTGCACATCCTGAGTCTCCCCGGCCTCAACATTTCCATGTGAGTAATGGGGCAATCACCGCCCCTCCCTCTCAGGGCAGCTGAAGGCATGAGTGAGCAGCGAGGGGTGTCTAGTTTGCATGTGTGGCCTGATGAAAGGGGAGCCGAGCCCCTGTTTTCTGCAGTTTATCTGGTTCTTGGGTCTCTGAGCAACAAAGAACTGTGGTGGTTCCTAGGAGCTCAGCCCCACTTAAAATTTCAGCAGATCTTTTCTAGATTACTTTTTTTGTTGCTTTCTTATTTTATGTGTGCCATCTGTTTTCACAGTTAGAGACCTGTTTTTTTTTTTTTTTAAGGAATGGGGGAGGGAGAGCTGTCTGGGATGCTGTGAAATGTGGACTGATTGGAAGTGACTGCAGTTGGCCTCATAAAGAGATGAGAGACACACACTGGGGGATAATCTCGATGCCACCAGGATTCACTCAGAGGGAAACTGAGGCCTCAGCCCAGAGCCCAGCAGAAGCCCGCTCCACCTGGTGTGGGTCACTCATGCACCTCTCTTTCCCACTGTGGAGATGCCTCTCCCAGTGTGTGGTCCACATTCTTAGTCATTTGGGGTTTAAGATTTCCGTCCAGGGCTTACTGGTTAGCTCAGTTGGTTAGGGGATGGCCTTGTAACACCAAGATCAAAGGTTCAGTTTCCTTTACGGCCAGCCAAAAAAAAAAATTTCCACCCTGGAGCAGAGGCAGGGGAAGGAGAACACTGAAGTGAGGCTGGCGAGTCCCAGCAGCTGTGCGGCCTGGGGCAGGTTCCTGCCACTGATGCTCCCTTTAGTTTTGTCACCTCTCAAATGGGCCAGGACAATCCGGGCTCTGTGGTATCCACAGGTGCTCAGAAAGGGGGCGGGTTGTGAGCTGACAGTGGGTTGTAGCACAGGTTCCTCGTGACACTGTGGGTTCTGGTGCCCTGGGGCTATGCCATTGTGTGTCTAGCCTGTCCCTCATGAGATCATGCAAGCAGGTGGATATTGTTGCCATTCCTTCTGGAACTGCAGAGAAGCTGAGTGACAGTGAGGGACCCTGGAAGCATCAGTCATAGTGGTTCTCAAACTGGGTTCCGTGAGGCCCCGGGCTCTGTGGTGTCGGGGTTGGAGGGAAGGTCTCTGAGCACTTCTCGCAGTGGGACCTGGTCAGCTCTCATTTGCTTCTGTCTTGCTGTCTCATGTAGTGGCTCCTTTGCGTGGTGGGTCTCAGTTCCGGCTCTTAGAATGTGCGCAGGAAACATTTGTTGGATGAGCCTGCAACAGGTGTAAGAATGGGTAGGTGTCACCTCCCGCAACGGTGCTGTGTGATGTGAGATGGCTGCTCACGGTGGCCCAGAGGTTTCCTGTGGGCCTCGTGCTCTACTCCTCCCTTAGTCCTTGAGCCACACAAGGGCCTCACTGTGGCTGTTGGATCTGTGGGGCCCTCTGAGTGCCAGGACAGGACAGAGCATGGGTAGCGAGCTTAGTTTCTGCTTGTGAGTGTTTGTATGCCAGGCGGGCACCATGGCTGGGCACGGGGCACATACAGTTCTAATTTGGCACAGCCCTACTCTAAGCTCAGGCGAGTAAACCACAGACCCCTGGCCTTGCTGGTCACAGCCTTCTCTGTATAGCTACAGGCCCCGCCTTTCTTTGCAGCAGAATGTGTGCAGGCACGGCAGGCAGCTTGCTGCCTTGGTCCCTAAGGATCCTGGTGGCCCCACACCAGCTCTCCTCCCTGGGTGATGGAGATGGGTGTTCTGGAACAAATGGAGGGAGAGTGATATCCCCCAGTTCTTTGGGAATGTTATGTGCATGGGTGGGGAAGGGTGCTGTGGGTCATGGGCGGGTGGGGTGAGTCAGGGCACGTGCGTGGAGGAATGGAGGCTGTGGGATTGTGAGAGAGAGGGGGCAGGTGGAGCATACGGGGTCCAGATTGCAGGTATGGTGTGGCAAGGGCCGTGTTGGTTGGACCAGGAACCAAAGGATGAGCAGGGCATTGGTGGGGTCAGAGGTGGCCAGGGCCAGAAAAGCAGCTGCAGCAGGACTGTGAAGGGGTCCAGGGAAGACCATGGCTTCCCTGCGCATGAGAGTGACAGGCTATGGCAGACCTGGGAGTTGGACCTGATTGCAGCACACGGGAGCCATGGGAGGTGGTCGAGTTAACAGGGGTGGCAGGCTGTCAGCGGTGAATTCTTGCGTGGGGAAGGTCTTGGGGCAATCCATGCTGGAGCTCCTCCAGCACAGGCCTGGCCCCAGGGTTGGAGAGAGACGCTGGCTGTGGGGCTCCCCAGGACTCCAGTCAAGGCCCCTGGGGAACCAACCCTTTCTTTCAGCTGCAGGTGGTTTTGAGGAGTGATTAGAAGCTCACAAACCTTCCCCTTGAAAACAAGGCTGTTCTGGGACGGTGGCGTGAGAGGTGTAGCTGCTGGCTCTCCTATCAGTCCTGCCTTCAGCTGGATGTAGTGAATGTTCTGGAAAGAACACCTCCTGCCTGCCGGAGTAACCTTTGTTTTCTTTGTTTTCTCCACAGGAAGCGAGGGATAGAAGTCGTACAGGTGAGTAGGGACCGCGTCCTCGCCGTTTTTCAGGTAGGGGCCTTTTAGTGCTGGCCTTGCCCTGCTCAGGCATCTGGGCTCCTGGACCTCTCTTCACGTGCGCCTTGCTGTTAATTTCCCCTGTGGATCTGATGCGATTTCCGCTCTGGGTGCAGACTCCGGTTGGTGGGTACTTGGGCGTGGAGAGGTGCTGTGGCTTTGGTGGTGGATGGGGCTGGCTGTGGGGGAACAGAGTCAGCTCGGGAGTTGGAAGGGGCACAGCAGTGCTTGGGTTGTCGGGGGAAGGGTGATGGGCAGTAGTCACCCAGCCACACGTTCGGTTCCTCTGTCCCCTGTTTCTTCACCCCCCGGGTGGACTTGGATCACATACTTAGTGGCTGGAAAAGGAAGGAGGATGGATCGAGTGGGAAGGAAGAAGGGAGGGATGGGTAGAGGGGGAAGATGGCAGGAAGGATGGAGTGAGGGGGAAGCCTCGCCAGGGCACAGGGACGGCCGCTGGCCCTGAAACAGATGTACATGCTCTGACCACAGCCGTTTGAGGAAGCCGGGAAGTTTAATGTGCTCTGGAGGAGGCCGACGGGGTGGGAGGGGCGTGCCAGGGGAACCCTCTTGCCATCAGCATTTATCCCTGTGGTTGTGACTCATGAGGGATGGGAAGAGAGGGGCGTTTCTCTCCATGTGAACATGAAATACACTCAGACCCTTTGTGAGGGGCTGTGACGTTTGCACTAAAGGCTGTGCCCGGCACCTAATGGTACTTAGTAAGACCTGAGGGTGGCCTGGTTTTATCCTCTGTCACCCTCGCTATCCCTGTCCAGGGTGAATCTTCTTGTCCATGCAGCTGTGCTGGCATCCCTTCTCCTCGCCTTGCAGGACTCATCTGCCTGCAGCCTCAGAAAGGTAACCCAGGCTGGGGACCAGATCAGGGTAGATGAGGAGCTAGCTCTTGCAAGAATGTCTGTGGGAGGTTTCTAGAATGCCTGCTGGGAGGAGCCTCTCAGATCCCACCTTTGCTAACGTCAGCTCCAGTCCTCTCAGCAGCCACAGCGAGTGGCTTCTCCATTCCTGGCAGGGTCAGCATCTCAGGCCTACAGGGGTCGGCCCTCTGCCTCTAGGACCAGTGTGACATGGTTTGGTGGGGAGAGGCTGGCGCCTGTCTGGCAGCTCTGGTGGAGGGTTGCTGAATTCTCCCTTCTGACCTCACACCTGGCAGGTTTGGGCTGAACTTGTCACCAGGAAGCTGAGATTTGTTTTGGGGTGCGCAGGTAGTTTCTGGAAGCTTCTCATCACTTTAGATTTTACATCTAGCTTCATCTTGGCTCTGCAGAGTTGCATGATCTGTGCTGAACTTTTCTGTGGACCTCAGTTTCTCCACCTGTCGAATGGGGGAAGTTGGAGTTCAGGAATGGCTGAGGAATGTGCTTTCAGGAGCTGATTTGTATGGATTGGTTGTGGCGGCCTGGAGGATTCTGAATCTGAATGGGTGAGGGTAATCATAGTAATGCGTGCCAAGGGTCCAGGAGTGGGAAGGTGGCCCCAGTGTACCTTTCACTACAGGCTTAGTTGATCTGTCAGACCGTTCCTGCTCCAGGATGCTGTGGCTTATATTTGTCTTTTAGCACTTTCTGATGGTTAGCTTGGAAGTCCCTGGGCCCTTTGCAGATGCTGCTTTACACACCAGCAAGCCCTCGACTGATATTGTGGCTGAAGTTGGAGCTTACCGTACGAAGGAAGGTTCTGGGGCTTCCCTGTGGTTCAACACAGTCACTTATGAGGGTTCGTGAGGGAACTGCTGTTGGGAGCCACATTTGGAGGCTTGTTTTTAGAGTTCATGTGCTCATCAGCAAACACACAGCTGGAAAGGGGAGGAAAAGTGCCCTTTCCATACCTGCTTCCTGTTCACACATGGTCCCCCCCAGCCACATAAGCAGGCGTCGGTGGCTTCAGTTTACATGGCTACCAGGGAAGATTTAGACTAAAACCTTTAATCCACTTAGTCTATGGGTGGAGCAGGAGACTGGAGCCATTGTTTCAGAATGTCCTAGGCAGAAGAGGAGTTATGAAATCCTTCTAGACGTGCCTGCTGTTCATTTTGAGCAAGACTTGGGGGAGGAAGTGGTGGCTGGGGACCAAAGTGGAGCCCAACTGGACGCTTTCCACTTCGGCATCTAAAAATAAAACCACCGTGATGCCTCTCCGTTCACCTCCTCCTGGCATCCCTCAGTGTTTGGAGAACTACATTTTAAGATGCTGAGAAAGGCTCTTTGTAGAGAAATTGGAAGCCAAGCCACTTGGTTGGTTTTTCAGAATCAGCTGGGCTTCTGTGAGCCAGATCCCCCGGCTGCTGGGCCTTGGAGCTGGAGGTGGGTGGCTTGACAGCAACTGGGTTCAGGTGTTAGTGACTCAGGAAGGTGAGAATAACCTCACCACCGGTAGCACCCAGTACTCCTGGGTCAGGTCCTCTGATGGGCGTTGTCCCATTCTGTACAGCCACCCAGTGATGTTCCTTTTAGAGATGAGGAACCTGGGGCCCAGGATGTTGTGACTTCTCTGGGGGAAGTCAGCAGGTAAGTGGTAGAGTTGGGATTTGAGTGCAGGTCTGTTTGTCTCAAAAGCCCATGGCTTTTCTGCTAATGGGTCTCCTCTGCATGTTAGTAGCCTGCTCCATTTACTAAATGCTTTTTTACTAAATGCTATCATTACCTGGACTTTGGCACTATCCAAAAAAAGGATGCGGGGCCTGTGTTCAGGACCCAAGACTGTCATAGGCTGGTAAGATCTTGTATTGTTTGGGTCATGGAGGTTCGTTCTTTTCCTGCTATTTAATGGCAACAGTAACAACATGAATTTTTAATACTGGGGACTTGGGTGTGCCAGGCGTTGATGCCTTTTATTTTAAAGAAGCATTTGTATGTAACCTTCCTGAGGCAGGGCGGGAATAAATTGTGCAGATCTTCAGCTTGCTCCTGTGCTGCCCAAAGCTGATGTGCTTGGAAGGAGCTTGCCAACTCTCCTTCCCTGTAGCCCCAGCCTCCCCTTTCACAAGTCCCTCCACCCATTTCTGCAGAGGTAGTGTATGTAGTGGTAAGGAGCAGGACTGCCTGCGTTCAAGTTCCTGGCTGTGTGACCTTGGGCCAGTTGCCTAACCACTCTGTGTCAATCTGCTCATCTGTAAAATGGGTATAATTGTGGTACCTGTCCCCTGGGATCCTTGAGTTAATGCGAGTAAAGCAGTTGGCACCGGGCCTGGCCCATGGGAAGTCAGCTGTCTGCAGAACTGCACCCTCTCCCTGTCCACAGGCAGACCCGGACCCTGGCGTGGACCTCGGAGCATCCCTCTCCCAGTCTGCAGGTTGAGTGGCCAGTCATTGTCCTCCTGGGGCCCGGGAGATATTTCCAGTTCCTTGCTTACAACAAAATTGAAAGAGGACCTGATGGAGTTGTCAGCTGATAGCACATTAAAAAATTTTTTTTTGTCCTTTTTGTGACCGGCCACACCGCGCTCAGCCAGTGAGCGCACTGGCCATCCCTATATAGGATCCGAACCCACGGCGGGAGCACTCCTGCGCTCCCAGCGCTGCACTCTCCCGAGTGCGCCACAGGCTCGGCCCTAAAAATTATTTTTGATAAAAGATTACTGTAATTCTTGGCCTATAATTCTTAAGGAATATAAAGAATTTGCTATGGTTAATCTCTTTCCGTTCCATCTTTTTATTTGAATAAGTGATTTCAGCACATGTATCTATAAAAATTGAAAAATTGAGATAGAATTGGTAAACCCTGTCTTATTCTAGCAATAGGTAATATTCATTTGTGGATACATGAAAAGTTTTTTAAAAAAATTCCCATTCAGGGCCGGCCCGGTGGCGCACTGCTACAGTGCACCGCTTGGGAGCATGGTGGCGCTCCCGCCGAGGGTTCGGATCCCACATACAGACCGGTTCCCGCTCACTGGCTGAGCGAGGGGCGGGAGCAACACCGAGGGTTGCAATCCCGTGGCCGGTCCCAGTCCGGTACGGGCGCGACACTGAGGGTTGCGATCCGTTGCCGGACACGAAAAAAGACAAAAAGGAAAAAAAAAAAATTCCCATTCATCTCTTCATAGATGTTTTCCTAATAAGGTTTTATTTTTTATGCTTATTATTCATATAGCTTTGTAGTGTATTTTTTGTTGTGTTGGTCAATTGTGTACTTATAGTAATTGTAATAATAATTCAGTCCAAAAAAAAGGACATTTATATATCTTTTTTTTTTTTTGGCCCAGTAGTATAATAGAATAGTCAATAAAAACCTTTCAAACGTAAAATAAACTGTGATAATATAAATATCTCTGAGGGAAGTGGATTGGAAATTGGAGTTTGAGGAGGAAAAAGGAACATTGTTGAATTTCCAACTGTTAAAAAAGAGCTTGATTATATAATTTAAAAATGGATAATGGTAAATCTCAAATCATTATGGTATTTAGATTCTGTTGGATCCATTTAAAAGAGAAACAGTAACAGTTTTATTTTAAAATGTTAATATTTACAGTATGTTGGAAAATACATCCTCTACAAGTATTTAAACTTATGATGAGAAATTTTAGATGTCAGCTTAAAAATGTGCAAATAGATACATAGTTTTAAACATTTTATCTCAAGGGGTTTGGTTCGAAGGCCACTGCTTTAGAACATTACCCGTTTACTTCTCAGAACCAGGCTGAGGCTGGTGTCTCCTCTGGGAGAAACAGCAGTGGACCTGGCTCTAAGGCTGTCAGCAGGACCCACTGTGGCTGGGCCAGGCAGGTTCTGGGGCCTATGCCCCACACAGTCTCCCCTGAGACCCAGAACCCAAGGCCGAGGGTTCCTTGGCAGTGGACTTGTCTGTGGAGTGACTGGCCTCCCTTAACCTGGTCTGTTAGGCCAAGTGTTGATGGTAATGCTCAGGGCTGCTCATGTAGGGTAAGAAGTCACAGGTGAGCCAGGGTCCAGGAAGTTTAGGAAGAGTGGGGGTCTGTGCAT